CATACGAACTGCAGCAGCTGCAGCGCAGCAGCAGCAGCAGCAGTAGTACTTGCCGCTGCTGCTGCTGCTGCTGCTGCTGCTTTAGCACACAGCGGAAGGGAGGCTATGGTGTCTGTACACCGCGCAATAAAATCTGCTTTTATTGCATACGCGGTTGGGGTATTATTAGTGACAGCCCCTAAACCCTAAACCCTAAACCCTAAACCCTTCTCTGTGTTGTTGTTTTCTTTTCTTTCAAGCGCTGACAGCCCCGCATTTGTTGCTAACTTGTCTTGAGTCTCCAGTTGTATAGCTAGCTAGCTAGCTACTCTTCAGCTACATAGCTAGCTAGCTAACTATTTGGATAGCTACCCAGCTATATTACTAGCTAGCTATAGGGCTAGCTAGCTAGCTAGCGGTGGAAGCAGCTAACTAGATAGCTCTCTGCTTGCTTGACTAGCTAGCTAGCTAGCTGTCTATTCACCTGATCAGCTAGCTAGCTAGCTGCAAAGCTAGCTAACTAGCTAGCTAGCTAACTAGCTAGCTGTACACAGAGCCGTCTACCTACAGACAGCATCAGGTGCAGACAGCATCAGGTGCCCCTATAGCAGAAGCAGCAGCAGCAGCAGCAGCAGCAGCAGCAACAGCAACTCGCCAAACAACTGAACCAACGAAGTCAAGGGTGCGCTCAATGCACAGCTAGCTACAGCTAGCTACACAAAGCTAGCTACGCCTTGCTAGCTGTAGCTAGCTTCAACGATCTGTAGCTAGCTGTAGCTAGCTGTAGCTACAGCAAGCTGCAGCGGTATGTAGCTAGCGGTAGCTAGCTTCAGCGACATTTAGCTGTAGCTAGCTGTAGCTAGCTGTAGCTAGCTGTAGCTAGCTGTAGCTAGCTGTAGCTAGCTACTTTCTTATGGTTGACAATGGGGCTCTAAGTCGCCCCAAGCATTTATAACTGTCCCCTTTGCTGCTGCTGCTGCTGCTGCTTGTTTTGCTGCTGCTTCTGCTGCTGCTGTTTTCGCGGCTGCTGCTGCTGCTTGTTCATTTGGTGCTGCTGCTGCTGCTGCTGCTGCTGCAGCTGGATTAGGCTCAGGCATCTGCTTCCATGGATGTTGCTGCTGCCTCCTCTTCCTGCTGCTGCTGCTTCTGCTGCTGCTGCTGCTGCTGCTCTTGCTGCTGATAATATTGAGCTAGTGCTTCAGAATATTTGTCGGTGAAGACGTCGCAGACAGCCCGAAGATTATCTAAAGACTCCTCCAATGCATGCAGCGCTGGGGTGTCTGCAGCAAATAAATAAATAAATAAATAAATAAAAATTATATAAATATATTATATTTA